GAATACAGCTGCGACTGCGACTGGCTCGTGCGAAAAGGCGCTTTACATGTTACTTTAGATTCGCTAGCGCATTCGTTCAGTATCCGATCAGTGTCGATGCAGTCGGCACTGAGCCACTGAGCGACGAGAAATACACGTATACGTTTGCACCGTTCGCACGCGTCATGCATGTACTCGCTGCAACGCAAACAGAATGCCACGACAGCTTGCGCGTTTAACAATAGTTGTATGTGTGTCTGTTGGTCTCTTGGTTGATCCCGACTTTGATTTCTTGTGTTACCTTTCGCACGATGAAACCCTTGGCAAAGCCTCGTTAACGGGCGGCCAAGAGCGACGAACGACGATCGTACGATAATCGACGGTCTTTGACGGTAATTATTATTGCATAAACATGATTGTCCTCTCTCTTCTTTCCGTTTTTCATTCTTTACTATGTTGGCGAACGAGTAGTTGTTACACACACACACACACACACACACACACACACACACACATGCGCACTCGTAAGTACACACGGGGACTCGAATTTGCCTGGTACTCCTCTTTCGTGCGATTGACACTCGAGCGCGTCGAGACTCTCATCGTGTACATGTATACAGCCTCGTACAAAGTTGCATTTTGTCGCAGACCAAATACAAGCACTTCTGGCATGTATGAGTGTACACGTATATACGTACATACCGACGTAACATATCGCACGAACGTTTCGTGATTTAAAATTACTCTCTCCGATAACGCTTATACGAAATTACACGAGTAATCACATTCCGATCGTTAGGTATGTTATTCTAATTGAGCTTCCAGTAGGAATTTCTTTGGCTACCGTGAAATTAACGTTCTAGTTTAAAGCTTAGGAGCGATAGAGAGAGAGAGAGAGAGAGGGGGGGCGGGGGGAAAGAGCGAGAGGGAAGTAGAGATCCAGAGTGATCAAAGTCAAATGTCTATTATGCGCGTTTCAACTTCCCTTTGCCTACGTAGTTTCACTCGGTTAACGTCGAATTGGCTTTTTCCTCGTTTGTCCGTCTCGTCGTGCCGTCAGCTCGTCGTACTCGTGCACTCGCACACTCACCTCTTCTGCCTCTCACGTTCTTGCCCTTTTTCTTACTTTTGTATCTCTTTCTCTCTCTCTCTCTCTCTCTCTCTCTCTCTCTCTCTCTCTCTCTTTCTCTCCCTCTTCCTCCGCCTCTGGCGCGAACTAGTCGGGGCAATAAGACGAGAGTACGCCACCTGTTTCCAAGTGTTATGAGACTTTCGGCCGGTCACGCCTCCGTGTCTCTTCACGTACACTCGGTAGGCTACATATGTATGACACACACCGCGGACACAGGGGAACACCGCACATTTAGAAACCTTCCGCAACCTTCACTGCACCGCCGTTAACACCAACTTCTGCCCATCGACCCCATCGTCGCCGCACTTACTCCCGTCGGATTCTCCCCGAGATTATGTCGCCGCTTGCGTGCGCGCGCGCGTGCGAACACGACAAAGACAATCCGTAAACTGGGTCTCTCTTCGCGCTACGGATATCTTGCCGCGCAAGTTACTTGCGCGGCAAAATTCTCTACGGCACGATGTTTCTCTCTCTCTCTCTCTCTCTCTCTGATTCTCTCTCTCTCTGATTCTCTCTCTCTCTCTCTCTTTCTCTTTTCCTCGTCGTCGCCGGGCATCGTCACGTAGATCTCGCAAGTAGCGCAGGAGATAAACCTGGGTTTGCTTCTTCCGCGAATTCGCCTTCTTTACTCGTCTCTCAACGCGTTAATAACGATATACAGAAAAGAAAAGAAACGGGAAAGAGAATATAAGTACACCATCCTGTAGAGTTTTATTTGAGGAAATGCGATAGTCGCGAATAAGAGATTCGTGTAACGAAAAACACTTCGGATGGGGTCCGTTGCTCGTGCCGCCGCCTCTTTTAAAACGCAGGTAAGAGACTTGGAGTCGCGCACGCACAACGGCTGTTCCCCGCAACGTTTTCGCTCGATCGATCGTCGTGCACTCGTAACCAGCTGTGTGCGCGTATTTATTGTATCTCCGGCGGCTCCTGAATCTCCCCCTCCCCCTCCTCACCGTACGTCTCTGATTTATTCCCGGCAAGATACGCGCGCGCGCGCGCGGCCGCTCAGCGAGAGATCGCGCGCACGGCAATTTTTCCCTATTCATCGCGTCGTATAATCAGCTTGTTGCAGCAACGGCAGCAACGATGACGGTGACTGCGACGACGGCAGCAGCGCCAACGTAACGGTTTCAAAACTCGCAAGTTTCTCCCTGCCTGGGCTCTTCTCTCTCTCTCTCTCTCTCTCTCTCTCTCTCTCTCTCTCTTTCTCTCTTGCTCTATCTCGTTCGCGTGACCATTTCTCTCCCTGGTCGAGACTCTTGATGGAGAACAGTCCTTTCTTCCTCCACTTCTTCCTCTGATCGAGACGCGAAAATGTGGATAATTCCCCATTCAGCGCGTTGAACGTCATCGTCTCGACGACCTTCCGTTTTCTTCAGTCTCACCTCTTACGATAATCCTTCCGCAATTACTCGAGAGCGACTGCACTTTTGGGCGATCACCACCGTAAATTGTTTATTTCCCTACCGGAGGCTATCGTGAGGTTTAATTTTTCGACAAAAAGTTCTTCCACCGCGCTGTTATCTCGGTTGTACTACTTACAATGGCCGGCGTTATCCATCGACTTTCCCTTGTATAAGTTCCGCTGCACCACGTGGCGCCCGGCGGAGCGATAGTAATACGCTCCTCTCTGTATGAACTGCCGTAATGCCGAGTGGAACAAAGCGTGGCGGCGAACGGATGGAGAAACTTAATCTTCCGCGAACGCGTTCCGCAATGTAATGAATGAGAATAATACAGAAACGATAAAAGGTACTCTCCCATCCCTCGCCCCTGCCCTACCCTCTCTTTCCCCCGTTATCGGAGTCTCTTATCGCGGTTGCCCATAAATTAGAAACTTGTATCGCCGTCGCGAATTACGTCGCGGAAAAATTACACGTGTGTGTGTGTGTGTGTGTGTGTGTGTGTGTGTGTGTGTGTGTGTGTGTGTGTGTATGTGCGTGTGTACGTGTGTGTATATGCTTGTGGACGTGTGCATATTAATGAGACACGATTTATTTTTCCACCAACCGACGATATGCAACGTGAAGGATATTGGCACATTCTTTCTCTCTGTCTCTCTCCCTCTCTCTCTCTCTCTCTCTCTCCCTCTCTCTCTCTCTCTCTCTCTCTCTCTCTCTCTCTCTCTCTCTTTGTCTCTTTTTGTTCTTTCGATTTCACACACGGGCGGCAGTAGCGGCGCCGTCGTAGGCATTAATCTTCGATATAGAGTACATGATGATCGTTTCACACGCATGTCAGTAGGAAAAATAAAGCTTGCCGGATATGTGTACATTCGGAAATAAAAGACACGATTTATTATGCGATATTTCGCGTTTACGCGCCTCCGCGCGCGTTATCATATGTAAACGCCCGCCGGCCATGCGTGCGCCAGTTGAGTGTAGTATATCACGGTTTTACTACATTTTTGTGAACGCGCCGAAGAGTAATCAGAGCGGCGCGTATATTCCGCCTACCCGCACTCGCTCTTCTTCGATCCAAGAGAGAGAGAGAGAGAAAAAAAAAGAACACATCGATGATTCAGCATCTGCGAGAATAGCACGCGGACAATATTTTCTGGCAACAGCTGCCTTAGTTTCTAGTGACTTCATTGCAATTTTGCGCCGAAATAATTATCCTTTGTCTCCCTCACTCTCTCTCTCTCTCTCTCTCTCTCTCTTCCTCCTCTTTCTCTCCTCTTTTTCCGCCCGTTGTCGTTTCGTGACCGTAGCCAAAAGTCCAGTGCGTTATATCGCATAATACAAATTCGCAGCGAAATTTATTCGCGGTCTTTCGTTTCTGTTTTTGTCGGCAAATTACACCCTGTTGGAATATTCGCGAGAGTTTTACCATATTTATCGTCGTGGTCGCGCGCTTAATGACGCGTCGCTCTTCCGCGAGATGTAACTCGCGTTTATTTCGCGGTAATTCCGTCATGCCGCGAAAGGCTCAACGCGCTTGCGATTTTCGGTTCGCCGTTGGATCGCGTCACCCTCGTCCGACTCCGCGGGTTGATTTAAACAGACCGGTTTGGCGGCCGACCGACCGACCGACCGACCGCGCTTTCGATAGCAGCTAATCGCGGGGCGAAAAGCGGGTTTGCGGTGTAAACTTTATTTCGCGCTCGCTGCCCACCGCAGTGCACCCCCGATCGCGTCCCTGATCACACCCTTTCGGACAGCTGCCGTGAAAAAAACGGAAAAAACGAGCACACAACGGACTCCATCTGCAGAGGTGTCAAAGAGGAGAGAGAGAGAGAGAGAGGGGGGGAGTGAGGGAGGGGAGGAAGTATTTTTGTTTTTTTCTGGATTCGACCGACTTTCTCGGGGAAAATCGAGGCTCACGCTTCGGAGCGAATATCGAAGCGCGTAACTTCGCCTACCTCGAAGCTATGCTCGAAACAAGAGACGAAAGCTTCAAGCACGATCGCGACCGCATAGTTCCGGAGATTTTTCTCATTGGTAGAATCTCTCCACACATGACATGGACCTGCCGTTGCTGCGTCGGCGTAGGAAATCATAGATCTCGAATCGCGACGGGATCGTCCCCTGTTTTAGATTCGACGCGACGCGCGAAGAAAGAGGAGTCATCGTCGGTCAAGAGAGGGAAAGAGTGAGAGAGGAGAGAGAGAGAAAGAGAGGGGGGCAGGGGGAGAAAGAAAGAAAGAAAGAGAGAAAGAGAGAATGTTAAACGGCGGTTCCGATCGTGCACGATCGCGAAGAACCAAGACGACCCGCGAGTACGCGAGTACGTTCGACACCCCATCGAAAGTCGAGCGTATATCTCCTCGTCTCTCTCGCTCTCATGTAATACTGTAACATACGACTGTCACTCTCATTAAAGTCAAGTAGTTGTTTCTTTTTGTTCTTCTATGATTTCTTATGATTTATATATGTTTTTGTTACAGGGGTCCCGCGAACATTTTCGGCTAGGCCTTACCGAGGAGGTTGGTTCGTTTGTTTGGTTTGCAATTAGGATTAGTCAGTAGATTTTTTTCTCTAAAGCCCTAGTCCTCTCCTTTTACTTTCTTCTTCACGCGTAATAGATCTTCGCTTTTACATACGTATAATACTCGTCTCTGTCTCTCTTTCCCCTGTAATTTTCTTACTACTATCTATCTATCTCTCTCTCTCTCTCTCTATATATATATATATATATCTGTCTATCTATATTTCTCTCTCTGTCTCTTTCACTATCTACCTTCCCTTTATTCTCTTGATGCCTCGATCGTCGCTCGACCATGCTAACACCAATCACCACCTTTTGATCGTTATACTAACCGTAGCATATATATCTATACATACGTAACATGCAGACTCGACCCTTGCATATGTGTATTTAGACTCACACGTATCAAGATGTATGTATACGCATATATATGGATATGTGTATATCCGATTATATTATCGATTGATTTTCATATCAGCAGTGTGTGACTCTCACTATAAACTCCGATTATATATTATATATACATATATTATATATACTCGATTGACACCAAACTTATTCTCTTGTTTTGTCTCGCAGGTCTCCGTATCTCTTAGCTTTAGTTGATCGATGTTTAGATATGTGATATTATACTACATCTCCTTATCTCTGTGCGTGCCTGCGTCAATGCGCGCGTTTGACCCTTCCGCCCGACCACTTACCCACAATACTATTACCATCACCACCACCAACCACCCCCTTTTGTTGTATGTACGTGTTCGTGTCGTGCGTAGGGGTGACCCGCAATCCCGTCTGTTTGATCGTTCATTTATACTGGACTCGATATCTTAGCTGTAATGATGAACATTAGCTAGCCGACTTGAATATTTAGTTTTAATGTCTCTCGAGAACGACTGCACAGTTACCAAAGATATGATATATACACTTGTCCGTATGCTGCTTTGAATCCCATAATCTAATATCATTACATATATACATATATATTATATATATATATATCACATCAGTATCTGAAACCTGGATACTCGAAAAAATGCGACTAACGAGCTCGCCGCTAAACATTTTCATCATAATGCATGAGAACTAATATTTTATTCATCAGGTGATCGAATGAGCTAGAAAAAGGCGCTCGGTCAAGAGGGACCTTCGTTGCCGGTACGCCACTTGCGGTAAGATACGCGACCACGATATTAGAAAACCCTTTCGTTTCATATACTCTCGCGAGCGAATGTAGCGATGACATCCTCTTATATTTTCTCTGTTGTATGTCTCGCGACTTGTCACTTTGTCGCACTTTATCGCTGAGAAGTAACGAAGTCGATAACAGAAAAATCGACGATCGCGCGACTCTGCGCGTCGATCGCGCGCGATAAACAGCCAACGGCTTTCCACTGTTATCTTTCTCTTCGGCAAAACATTTTTCAAAGACACCGTTTCAAAGAGACGCGCGCGACAAATCGTTATTAAAATACGCCGCAAATTCGCACCTCCGCACGCACGAGCACTCGCCGAATACGCGCCGCTTTCTTTTCCGGTCGATCGCGATTCGCCGTCGTGATAACTAGTTTAATCGACGAGCGGCGTCGATATAACGGCGCAGTGCTCTGCCGTTGGCACAACAGAGCGGGTGAAACGGATTAATGACGGCAGCTGAGGAGAGCTGATGTCACGATCTTGAAATCACCGGCGAGACACGAAAGTGACGCAAGAAATCCGGCGTCGCTGTCAACAACGACGGTGTTTTTACCGAGCCGACGATGATAACGGCGCGCGTCTCGAGAGTATCAAGTCTCGTCCCGCTCTCTCGTCTTTTTCCATCGAAAATCTCGCATGCGAAGAATCAGCGCAATCGATAACGAAACTCGTTCGAGAGCGTCTCTGTATGTCAGCAGTCTCTGCTGAAATTTCGCGCTCGCTCCTAAGGAAGGAGAGAGACGCGCGCGACGAGAAATGTCTGGATCTCGTTTTGCAAAAACATTCGAAATGACGCGAAATTTCGTCGTGTCTCTTTCGAGAAAAAATAGCATTTAGCAACTTCCTTTTAGCAGGCATGTCGATCTCTTGGTTGTTAACAGTGGTGTTGCTTCGCGTAATTCTCCTGATTTCCTTGAGTCTTTACGAATTTGTTTCACACAATTAAAGTCGGAATTTAATTTCGACGCGTGACTCCCTATATCTCCGTCTGTGTTGCGAATCGATGCGACAAATTCTATCTCACAGGTTCATGTAGTACGCGTATTCAGCAAGAGAAAGAGAGGAGGGAGAGAGAGAGAGAGAGAGAGAGAGAGAGAGAGAGAGAGAGAGAGAGAGAGAGAGAGAGAGAGAGAGAAGTAATACAATTCGCATGTGGAAATGACAATGGAAATTTTCGTAACTCGTCGGAATATTTTATCAGCGGACCGCTTGCGCGGACGAACGCTTTTCCGCTCATTTCCAGCGGAACGTCGCGGAGAAACTTTCTCGCGGTGATTTAAAATTTTGTATAATAACCACAGACGGATATTCATTTCGCTTCTATAATAATGCCGCGACCTGATTCGACGCTGGACTGAGATAACCGCGCCCCGCTGCAAAGGTCAGAATAATAGTCCGTCGGTTCGTAGCTGCATATTAAACGTCATTAAATTATGGGTGGCCGCCTTGGATTACCTCCGCTTACGCTTATAAGCCGCCTCGGTTTTACGAGGTAAGACGTACGACCGCAAAGATGGAAGGGCGGATAAGGGTTGGAAGAGCGAGAGAATGAGAGGGAGAAAGGATGGCAGACATCGAGGAGGCGGATTATTCTGGTACTTAAAATACGCTCCCGGGATCTTGACGATACTCCAACTATGAGACGGATATGAATGCGCGGATTAGTTTCGCGAGCGATAAATGTAGCGACGAAACTTTCCGCCGCCGTCGCGCGACTAATACGACCGCGGTCTTTTATATAATCGAATGAACGCGTAATTGTCCTCACACCCGGATCGTTGCCCCCCCCCCACCCCACCCCTCACCCCGCGCCGCATCGTCGTCACCGTTAGTGCGCGACGTCGCGACGGCGCGGATGCGTTTCTGGGCATTAGGCGGAAACGTTGACGGTAAGTTAACGTGCAACGATATCACGCTCGCACGTGCGACGAAATTAGAAATGTAGCCGGATAGGTAATTAACGTGTATAATTTTATTTTATTGCGTAATGTAATTGCGTCGTAATTTACACACGATCGCTCTCCTATACTTTTCGGTTAATTTTGCCAAATTACCTCTCTCTCGGTCGCTTCGCTTTTCTATTAATTTATTCGTTAATTAAATCGTACGTTTGATCTAATTGAAGTGCATATTATAATTAGATACCTTCGGAATAATGGATTACGCCGTGGTCCCGTACGCGATTTCACGGTATTTAACCGTATTATGCGAGAATGTGCGCTTTTTATGTTGCGCCGCATGCAACGTCGGCGATAATATACGTGACAGCGAACCGCTCGTCGGTCTCGCGTATCTCTCGAAACGTTCGCTCGAGATTATCTAAGTCGATCGTAAGAACAGTCGGAAGAAAGCCCCAAATCAGACCTGAAAATCGCCGTCAAACCGCCGTCTCGCATTATCAGAATTCAGAATATCCGATATAAAGTTTTTCCTGCAAATGCACAGCATATTGCTCACGTTAAATGTTATCATGATAACACAAGAAACCAACGTCTCCGACGTTGGCTAAATACTAATAATTTATCCGAAATGAAATTATGATTCGCGAACCTTAAAAATTCCGTTGAACTTGGAGAAAATTACACAGCCTATATTGTTTTATTTTAACATGATAAATGATAGCTTCTTGCCATATTTTCTAGGTTGAATTTTCCTCAATAAAAGGATCTCAGAATTGTTTAATTTTCAACCATGTCCCAATATTCTACCTTCATGAATCTTTATTTTGAATTTCCAACCAAGCAATATATTAATTGTATAGTTTACTTAACTGCAGATGAAATAAATACACGATGAGCACATTAAATAATTTAGTAAAGATTAATGAGTAAATCCAGCCAAAATGGATAGACAGCTAATTTTATTTCTTCGCAATCTCTCTTTATTAATCTATGATTATTTATTAATTTATATCTATATTTAAAATGCATTAAATCATATAAAGAAAACATTGATTGAAACAACCGAATAACGATCTATAATCACGAATTTACAATAAATTATGTTCTCGATCAAAGATCGTAGATAGTTTAAAATTACTAAATACTAGTCTTGGAATCTCTTCTACAGTTTTCGCAAGTATTGATTTTTACGTTTAATAATTCCTTTTAAAAACGTTTAATTCTTTTCGTAATATTGAGTTTTATGTTTAATAATTTCTTTGAAAAAGAAAAAAGAAATATTTAATTCTTTTCGAGTTCGATCTTGTTTACACTCGCCAGCGTTTTGTTTCCATTTCTCTTTGGCTTTGTTATTGTACGGAATCCAGATTTAAATCTCTATTGTAAAACAGTATTATTAGACAGACAATTGTTATTGTTATCTATACAACTTCTGTGTTAGCTTCACAGTGCCATCGTAATTTCCAACGCTAAAAGAAAAAGAAGAAATTATGGGAATAAAAATATGTCTGAGAAGCATAAAAACATTTATTCCTTTTAATCCTTACGGGATTATTTAATATTTCGTCATCTCTCATATATTCCATTTGCATTTGGATAAAGAATATAATTAATTTATTGCTGATTAAAATGAAAAATAAACATTAAGTATAGGTGAAATATTTAGATAATCGAATATTAAATTAAATGGTTCCGACATGAGTTTAAATTTAAAATATAACATAGAAAAAACGACATAAATTGATTATTTGCACCATTAAAGCAGAATTTGATTTGACATAATTTGCAAAATTAATATAGGTTATTATAAAATCAAATTATCAATCAGGGTTCATTAATACAAAGCGCGATGAGGCCAAAACTAACGTTTTAGACCCAGGGATAATTGAGCCATTCTGGATAT